CAAAAGATTTCAGTACATATTCTTTCCTACATTCATAAAAGATGAGTTTTGTGTTGTTTTCTGTGAATAGTTCTGCCGTCTTGGGTTCTGTTCTACATGTTAATAGGTTTAGGCAAAACAAGTGTTAAACTTCTGCCTAAACCCCTTCGGTCTGTAGAATAATTTTAGTGATACACATAAAATGCATCTTTTTTTTTGTGTTAAATCATTGTAATAGGATGTATGATTATATTAATTGACCAAAGAAAATAAACTAACATATATACATATCAAAGCAAAGTGCCTTTTGTTTCTGAGGTTGGTGTTAATCAACTTAACATACATTTGAAAACAGCTAAGACTGCACAGTTTCCTGTGGGTGGAGACACATGTTAATGACTGCTCTGGTCTCAGGTACAAATGACTTTCATTTATAAATTTTCATCACAATCATGTTATTTAATTTAAATTATAATGAGCATAGAGCAAGAGACCATATAAAAGTCATTCAAATTAAGTCAAAAACAGGACTGCTCTTATGAAGGTGCATGGACTTTAAATGTCGTGTATTACACAAAATGGATTATTGTGAGCTTTAAGCCAAGGTGTAATGACGTTACTTCATCAAAAACATACCTGGAGTTGTGTGTTTTTAATATTTATGTATTTATTTGACAGGGACAGTCCAGTGATACGTAGTCACAGGCAGAGCTCGGGGTTGAATGTGTAGCTGTATCGTGCCCCTGGTTGGGCTTTTCCCTTTGATAAACAGTTCAAAGCAGTTTAAAAGTTAAATTCACACACTATACAATATTTACACGTGGGTACTTGAGCCCCAAGGTGAACAGCTCACCTCTACCACCACTGCTCGATGCTTGTCAAATACTTGCTTAAATGTAATCAAATGTTAGAGTTATGTAAAATGATTCATAATTGAGCTGCTCCCCCTTTGAGGAAGTTTGTGGTGCTCACTTCAGAGAAAACCAGCCGAGCCACACGGTCCACAGCCTGAAGAGAGAGATGCAGAAACTCTTTTTGTCAGTCATCATTTTCATATAGAGCCCCTGAACAGCCTCCCACAGGAGATCGTATCATGCACAAGTGATCAAATGTTTCCACGTTTCACCAAACAACGGCCTTTAACCAAACAAACCTGTCTGCATGAATCTGCCCTGTATCAGTGTACTGTAAATGTGTAAACACTGAAAAAAATGTTAACTTTTTCCTTTTAAAATGCCTTGACAAGACTTTGGTTCCATCATAAACCAAAGAATTAAGATTAAACGTGCTTAAAAATTATGATTCTGATTATTACTTGTATTGCTTATCATGTTGTCTGCGCTGTAATGGAGCAAAGGATCATGGGTTATGTAGTTCACTCCGTTGTTTTTTTTTAGCTATTACTGCACCAAAACAATGAATTTAAGCAAAGAGACTTGTTATTTGATTTATTGTGATGGCCCACAGTTTTATTGTGACACTTTTGACAATACAACATTACAATATTTCATTTATTGTTACATCCCTAATAAATATACTTGTATTTCTTTGGCACATACACCATTTATGACAATTTTGTTCAAACATGCAGTATTACCTCTTTGTGTAACTCAGTGTTTTATGTGTATTGTCCCTGATGAATAAACAGATAAACTAAACTAAACTTAACAGTTGAAGCTCTGTTCTGCACTTTTGTTCAATTTAGAGCAGGGGTGTCAAACATACGGCTCGGGGGCTGGATCCGGCTCTCCAAGACCTTTAGACCTTGGTAATTTTCTGCGGTGCTTAGCATAACAGCATCTTCAGCACCTCTGTGCGTGGCCCCTCCCACCAGAGCAGCACAAATGAAGACTTGTCTCTTTCCAAACGCTCTTAAAGGACGATCGTTTTGACTGTTGACCGTGACACCCTCATCAGCAAAATGTCAAAAATTTGCAAAGTAGATGCCGAGTGCATTTTACAAGAAAAAATTACTTATTCCTATTTGCATAAAGTTAATGTTAAAACATTGTGTTGAAATTGCATTTTTCTAGTTTCACGTTGTTCATAATATAATAGATTTGTGTTTCTCTGCACAAATATTTGAACTTATTGCTATTTTTGGGGTATATATGCCATGAGTTTTCTGATCCGGCCCCTTTGGGATCAAAGTAGGTTGGATATGGGACCCTGACCAAAATGAGATTGACACCCCTGGTAAAGGGTTAGTGAGTTCCTTAATTTATAATACTGATATGAAAATCTGACAGTCTAAATGTGAATGTGTGCTGTGGGATTGTACAGCTGTTCCTGGAGGTGCTTCTGGTGACTCTACTGCTGGTTTGTCTCTAAATAAATGTACTAACAAATGTACTACGTCTGGTGCAAGACTATTTATGCATTTGAATATTAGTTTAAGAGAATATAATTTACTAAAGCTTTCAAAGTTTAATCAGTTATTTCTATATTTCTAAGGTGAATTGTGTAACTTCCGGTGGAGGTTCCGTCAAATGTTTTTTATCGTGGAGATGTTGTTGCTTTGTCTGGAATGTTTCTCAGTATGGTATTAAATCTTTCTACTTTCATGGAGACCAAACCACACCAAGTTACAGGTCAGATCTGTGGAGAGGCGACCCCGCTCACAGTTATTATGCCTTATGTTTTTGAAGGTATTTTTGAGCTATAAAACCATCTGTAATTGAATAAATGTAAGGGAATATGTAAGAGAAGTTCACGGCATGATCTGGAAGGGCTGTCTGGGAGGGGATGTAGTGTCTGATGAATTAAAAACAATCAAAAACACATGGCTTTGGATGGTTCTGGATATTTTTTTGACATGTTCAAATTTTAGGTGGGGATCAAGGACCAGACCCAGATATTTGAATTCTCTTACAGATTGGTTCTGTATTGTTCTGTAAGTTGATTTGAAAATTTGGAGCAGAATTCATTTTGCTACCAAATCCATGTATCATTCATTCAGTCGTTAATCAAAATAAAACCAAAAATAAGAAAACGAAAAACTATTTTCTTCATTATTTGTCTCCAAAACCAAAATGAAAAAAAAGGATAACGATTTCTTTTTTTCAGTTTACGATTTTGTGTTTAAATGAATAATAGAAAAAATTGGTAACGGCCGTTTCCTGTTTCCATGACTTAAACTGAGATGTCTGAACCAGGACTAAATTAGGTCTAAACCAGGACTAAAACAGGACTAAAACAGGACTAAACCAGGACTTAAACAGGATTAAACCAGAATTTAACCAGGACTAAACCAGGACTAAACGGGTCTCTGTCCTGGTTTCAATCCCGGTCTCAGTCCTGATCCTGGTTCTAGTCTCAGTCCCGGTCTCAGTCCTGGTCTCAGTTCTGGTCGAAAACAAATTGTTACCCATTTTTTCATTTTGGTTTTGGAGACAAATAATGAATTCTACTGTCTTGGTGAATTTAGCAACTTATTTTTTCCGAATCACTGACTCACCTCGGCCACATACAGACAAAAGATGAGCAGCCTGGCCCTGCGTCTGTGCAGGTGCATCACGACCGCACCGTCTGCATAACACTCCATTCATCTGGACAGGACAGAGGTTAAGAGACTGAGGAGCAAGGAGCCGATTATGGGGCCCTGGGGAATACTCATGGTGACACAGATGAGCTACTGTTGCTGATGGGCAAAACTGGCCTTGAAGTCCAGTAATAAATGTCTATGAAGAATATCAGAGGTTGTTGAGCTGTAGTAGTGCAGGGTCGATGTAATCCTTCCTAAAGCATCAGTGAGTGCGTACACATGTGCTCAGGTATGCTGGTTATGATCGGGCTACTCGGCTACTGTGGCCTGTAGACACAGTGTCACCACTAATGCTGTACTGAGCACGTGCAAACTGAAGGATCAAGATTTTAAACAAGGGAATGATACTGAAAGATGATCATTGTTCTTTTATTAATCCTCTCAGTTGGGATGGCGCTGGGGGAAATGAACTAGTTGCTGCATGTGACAGAAACTATGTTGTGGCTTTTACGAGTTTTTGCAGAAAGTGCAGCAAACAGAAACAGAGAGATGGAGAGAGAGACAGAGAGAGATAGAAGACAGATAGCGAGAGCAAAGAGCAAAGAGCTTCGTCATAGTTTCATCAGAAAAACAGTTCTCCTTAAGCCGGAGCCTGTTTTATGTAGCACTGTCAGGAGGAGTTTCACCAGCATCTCATGTTCAAACATGGCTCAGGACGTCTGTTGTTGCTGTGTCTTTGTTAACTCACACCTGCTGCTCTACTCTAACTGAAAAGATGTGTCTTGCCCAATCACACAAATATTTAAGAGTTTTCAAAAGAAGTGCATGTGGACAAAGTGGCATATGCAGACGATTCAGATGATCCTGGTTCACTGTAAAAACGTGCAGTGAGAATCACAAAAAAAAAGTGCAGTGCAGTTTAAAGTGCAGGAGCTGTATGTGGGTTTTCACACTCCGGTTGAGTGTTTTCACATTAGGCTTATATCTGCTGTAGACTGCAGTTTAACCGTCTACCATGTAAAATGTATCTATGTCTTTGTGGCTGTATATGTGGCCATATTTGGTATTTGGTGTTTTCCTTCCTGAGCACATCCTGTCAGCACTTGTCAGAAAATGAGCTGAGTGAGGATGGGGTCGGTTATAGCCGAGCCTCTCTGTGTGAAGAGCACCCCACTGAGCCCAGAGCAGCTTTAAACTCAAACATGTTTACACACTTTTATGTTTATAATGCTATCAAATATTATTTTGCATTCAGTAGCTCCTGACAGTCTATTTATTTTTTAGTCACACAATTTTGTAATCAAAGACAGAAAGCACTACTTTTAATGCATAATTAATAAATTACATTTTTATAGTACTTTCTGTTAGTGAACCAGAAAAAAAAAAACATATTTATAGTATTAGTTTTAGTATTAGTATAGTGATTACAAATATTCCATAAAGCAGCTCTGCTCGGTGTTCATCTGCTCCTCAGACGTAGGAACATTTGACCCATTATGAGACAGAGCCAAAAACATAATACATTCAGAAAGGCCTTTTTACATTCACTCAGTCAGTCCCTCTGTGTTCATGTGCTCATCCTGTGCTCAGACTTGGTTTCCCCAGGGCAGATGATGGTTTCTTCGGGCAGGTGATCATCTCTTCGGGCAGGTGATCATCTCTGAGAGCAGGTGATCATCTCTGAGGGCAGGTGATCATCTCTGAGGGCAGGTGATCATCTCTGAGGGCAGGTGATCATCTCTGAGGGCAGGTGATCATCTCTGAGGGCAGGTGATCATCTCTGAGGGCAGGTGATCATCTCTGAGGGCAGGTGATCACCTCTGAGGGCAGGTGATCACCTCTGAGAGCAGGTGATCATCTCTGAGGGCAGGTGATCACCTCTGAGGGCAGGTGATCATCTCTGAGGGCAGGTGATCACCTCTGAGGGCAGGTAATCATCTCTTAGGGCAGGTATCTGATGGTGGCGTACTGAGCGTTATTGTCTACATCCAGGACTCGAGTAGGTCTTTGGGGGAAGTCCAGGACGCTGTAGATCAGAGAAGAACCAGAAGGACCAGGGGGATCAACGCAAGAGGAGCCAGAGGGACCAGGGGTAACACATGCACCAACAGACGGTACTCTGTCCTACAGCCGGGCACAGAAGACACAACTGTCATTACTTTTTGAAAATTGTTGCATGACTGTATTAAGTGGGTAACAGAAGATTTAAAAAGTAATATTTCTGCAGTAGTCCATTTAGCTGTGTACTTACATGCACTGTGGGGATAGAGCGGTCCTCAATCTGTTCTTTTAATTCTATTAAAAAATAAATAAAAAATGTGTAAAATATCGACCTGAAGTGAATCATTTCAACAACAACAAAACCAGAAAAAGAGAAAATATATTCTCTTCCATATTTTCTTGTTTCACATTTGAATGTTAATTGTTTCAGACCAGAAAGCTAAATTAATTGAGTTAATTTAAATGTAATGCATTTTTTTAAAACTTATTTTTATTACTTATTAACTTATTGCAAGCCACATAGCAGTAAAAATACAATACAAGTAAAATGACAATAAAGTTACTGTGTAGATGCAGTCAAACATATTGTCTCCTCATTTACCATTCATAATATGCACTACACATACACTATATCATAACAGAAAAAATCCTACAAAAGACAGTCGTCCATTTGAAATACAGGCCTGAACTGAAGACCATTTGTCCATGAATATATCTGTCTTCATTTGTAACCTTGTAGTTATTTGTTCCACATTCTTTATTTTACTTTTCCACTGGGTCATTGTGGGGGACAGCGGCCTGAGACAGACGACCGTTATCTTTTTTTTTTTTTTTGGCAATTAAGAGTAAAATTTTCAGCAAATGAAAATTACTATTTGCTCTTATGTCATTTGGTAAATTTCCCAACAGCACAACGGACGGCTCTAATATAATTTTGATCCCCAAACACTTTTCAGTTTCGCAGTGCACGTCCCTCTAAAATGTTGCCAGTTTAGGACAGTTCCAGAATATATTGTAATGATCCTCCACGAGACCGCAGCCCCTCCGACGTTTATCTGAGGTTCCACCAAACTGACATGTAATAAAAGGAGTTCTAAAGAATCTAATTTTAGTTTTTCATTCAAACTCTCTTAGTACTGGGCTGTTTATAATTTTGTATCCCTCCTGAACTGTCAGTTCTCAATCCTCATCCTTAATTATTGTGTTCATTTCTCCTGTAATGTATTTTATTTTTATTTTTTTGTCTTATTTTTATTGTCTTTTGTCTTAGATCAATGATCCCCTTGAAAATGAGATTACACATGTTGAAGGGTCGTTGATCTTAACAAACAAATGTGATATATGTGTGTTGAGAGGCGAACGCTCACTGTAAGAATCCAGGTGTTTCAAGATATTTCAGAGCAGCAAAAACACCAATAACTGAATAAATGCACGATGGACCATCAGTGACATCAATGACCTGGAAAAGATTACTCTATAAATATGTCTAACATTACTCTTACTCCATTCTAGGCTACTTTCCATATTTTACGCAATAGAAACCTCACAGAATATCGACTGAAACTGGCTTCAATAATAACTTGACAGTTTTATTCTCTTCACACTCTCTTACACATTATTTAAATGAGCTCTCCTCTCACTGTTGTGTTGTTGTGCTCAGGAGCAGGAGTGGTTTCTGGTTTTGGGGGTGCCCCATTTCCGAGCAGAGCAGAAATAAAGCTGAGTGAAAGTTCATGTGTCAGAAGAAAAAAACTGGTCTTTTTCCACCTCTATGTGAACTGACACTGTGCACATGCTCTGAATCATCCTTTGGCTTCTAAAAAAAAAAGTGCTGAATTTCAGTTTTGTTTGAACATTTCTGTAAACCTAAACACTGGGGTTGAGTAATTCCTGTCAGCGTCTCTCAGTGGAAACAGTTTGAGGCTGGGTTGCTGGTTCAATTCCACGTGCTGATGGACCTGTGCTGTATTTTGCATTTCTCTTCTAAACAAAGCAATCTGGGTATTAGGTCAACCACCCCTCCATATTCTGTACTTTGCACTGGCAATACTTGTTTCATATTTACTTGGGGAAACTATTGTGAGACTATTGTTTAAACTCCATCAGTATTCATCAAAAAAACAGCTACAAGAATTATTCATAAAGTCGGATATCGGGGGTCACAAAAATTCACTTTTGCTACAATCAAAACTGTTAAAACAATATGACCAGATGTTCAGTTAGTAATATGTAACAATATCCAAATCTCTCAGGACAAAATTTTCACGATGTACATGTCACGGTTCGATATTTATTGCGATAATCTGTGGCAGCTAACAAAACGGACAAGACTTAATCCAAAGAACTAAGACTTAAAACTGTTATTTCTTCATGTAGTCTGCACTGAAACAGAGCAAAAGATCATGGTCTATGTAGTTCCCTCTGTTTTTCTTAGTTATTACTGCACCATAACTATTCATTTAAGTCAGGCATGTCCAAACTATGACCCGTGGGCCAAATGCAGCCCTGAGACAAATTTTTCTTGGCCCTCAGGCTTCCAGGTGAATTGGCCCAAATAACCTTGCATTAATTAAAAATTTACTTTCTACTGCAAAGTTTTTGAAACCCTACCTTGATAAAGTGAATATTTAATATTCAGTGTGTGGCTTTAAGAATCTTAGTATGAATAAAGAGTGATGGCTCATTCTAACGTGTTAACATTTCAGTTATTCGCTGTACTGAGCTCCAGTCTACAGCCCTCGATCGGCCCTCTGCTTTGTCTGTGTTTACATATGTGGCCCTTGATGAAAAAAATTTGGACACCCCTGATTTAAGTGAAGAGACTTGTACTTCAATGTATTGTGATGGTCCATGATATTATTGTGAGACTTTTGATGATATAATATCACAATATTTCAGTTATTGTTACATCCTTAATTACTATACATTATTAGATATTACATTACATTATTGGCACATACGACATTTATGACATCAACCGAGACCTTTGACTATATGATATTACGATATTTCAGTTATTGTTACATAAAGGGCAAATCATGTTTAAAGTAAGAAAAACTTGCCACCACACAATCTTCAAAATATCTTTAGATACAGACAAGGGGTTTATCCAATCCAACTTTATTTGTGTAGCGCATTTTACCAACACAAAGTCCCCAAAGTGCTGCACAATATAAATGAACACATTCATTAAAATAAAGTCAATAAAAAAACATTAAAAATACTAAAATTAGCAAATAGAAAAATAGCAAATAACATTTTTAAATAGAATACAGTCAGAGAAGCACAAAATTCTCACACCATGTTAAAAGCCAGTGAGTAAAAGTGTGTTTTTAGTGTGTTTTAGAGTGTGTCTCTCTACTGTCTGAGAGGTGACATAAACCCAGAATACACACAACGAGAAAAAGTCTGAGTATTGGTATGCGGGTTAAAGGGACAGTTCAGAATTTTGGACATAGGGCCTCATTTCCTAGTGAGTCAAAGTGTTGGGGACGTGTGGAGACACTTTTTAAAATATTCCATCCAGTCCTTATATTGGCAGAGGTCACTGGTGCTAGGCTAGTGCATGTCAATGGCCATAGTTATCCTGCCACTAAAAACAGTCTTACCCACTCCACAAAACACCCGAAGCAAAACTATTATTACACCAGACTCAATGTAAATGTCTGTGTTGATAGAATAATGTTTGAAATAAAACTAACCCTGCACTGCATGAATCATCGCATGTTGAGGGACTATTTTCTCATATATCAGTCTTTCTATCAGGAAGTAAAAGTCACTGCAGCTGCTCAGACATAAATCCTTCAAATGCAAGGTTGGTTTTACTTCTAAAATGATTCTATCAACACAGACATTCACATCGACAGTCTGGGGTAATAATAGATTTGCTTCGGGTGTTTTGTGGAGTGGACTGTTTTTAGTGGCAGGCTAACTATGGCCATTGAGATCCACTAGCCTAGCACCAGTGACCTCTGCAAATACAAGGACTGGATGGAATATTTCAAAAAGTGTCTCCACACATCTCCAACACTCTGGCTCACTAGGAAATGAGGTCCTGTGTCCAAAATTCTGGACTGTCCCTTTAAGCTGTGAAACAATTCAAAGGATTCATTATTTTAAAACACTATTCAAACAGGAGGTCTTCAACGGCTACAGGCTCGAGGAAGGGCAATAATTACACTTGAGGTGAGCAGTATCGAAATGTTGTATGTCAAATGGATTTGAAAGTGTAAAGAAAAAAATAAAAAGTCAAAAATAATCAATGAATAATGAATGTATATATAATTTTGCATAGCACTTAACAGTAACAAATAGTTTATATGTGATTATCTGCAGTAATCGTGTGCAACAGTCAACACGTGCTTTACAGCTGATCATCAACATGCTCTGGGGGTGTGATGCTAACTGAAGCACTGCTCTGTCTGAGGCTTTGTTAGACTTTAATCTGAGCAGTAATTTAACACAGTCTGACCAGAAAGACTTGATTTAGTTGGAACTAGAACAGGTGAGCCAATTTGTGCTGTTAATCAAACCTCTCACACATAAAATGACAGTTAGTTACACTCACTTGTATCTCCTAAACAGGATCATAAATGTTCGTTGTTTTTTTTTTGTTTTGTTTTTTTTTGAGTTTACAGGCTATATTAAAATGTTTCTGGAGAGTGTTTGCTAATGCGTGCACTATGTCTCCATGTTAACTTCTGAATATTCTGTCATACAGTCACATGTAGAACACCCCCAGCGTGATGGACTATTTGCCTGACCAGCTAGTCTCTTCTAGCCTGATTCATCAGCCGGTTTCACTTCGTAGAAACCATCTGACCGCTCAGAATTCATTCACTCGACAGTAGGTGGGTACTTTTTTAAATTTAAGCAATTGTTGCTATTTGGTTGTGATGTATGTAATGCATCACTAACAGTGATATTAAGCTTTTCCCAAATGTCATAGGAAGAAGGGCAATAACGTCTTTCGCCTTGATAAAATTCACCAAACATTCTCTTTGTTCCGGCTTTAAATCCTCAATCTCGGGAATCGTTGCCAACACAGAATGTATGGCTCTTTGGTGATTGGCTGGTGCCCAAACTCACACTTCCAAGGTTCTTGCAAACCGTCTATTGGATTTGGATTTCTAACCTAGTTGCTGGAGAGAAATGAAATTGAGCGGAGGCACTAGGTGGTAAAAGCCTGGCTAAGTCTCTTCTACATTCTGTCTATATCCAAAAGGGACTGGGACTGGACCACAGAGGGTGAAAAACTACAGTCACCAATTTGTATCATGTGTTTCAAATGCAAAAAACATCTCTCAAAAATTCTCGTGACATTCAGAACAAAATATTTAACTCCTTTTACCTAAAATAAGTAATAGTTTGGTGCTTTGATTGTTGATTCTGTAAACAATCTGCATTATTTCTGTCTCTCTGATTGATTAATATGCCTTTCAGTTTTTTTCTTTTTTAATTCTAGGTATTTTTTCACAGTTGTATACTGTGTACTGTCATTTGACGTATGTTATGTATGTCAATATACGGAAGCCGAGAGGGGTCACAACAAACGCAAACGCCGCAACAAATCCAAATGCGACAACACAACAAAAAGCCACAACAAACCAAAAAAAGCCACAACGGAAATGATCGCGGGACTTAATTTTAATGCAAATGCCGCAACAAATACAAACGCCACAACACAAATGCAAACGCTGCAACACATTAAAAAGCCATAACACATTAAAAAGCCACAACACATCAAAAAGCCACAACGGAAGTGACGGCGGGACTCTATTTTCCGACGGACCGATCAAGCGGCCAGTGAAGAAGAAGAACTACAACGTAAAAAGTAAAGGAACAGAGAAGTTGGAAACGTAAGTAAAAGTCATTTATTGTTTTATCATTATTCGTTTCACATTGTAGTTCTTCTTCGTCACTTGATAGAGTCCCGCCATCACAATAGAGTCCCGCCATCACTTCCATTGTGGCTTTTTAATGTGTTGCAGCATTTGCATTTGTGTTGTGGCGTTTGCATTAAAATAGAGTCCTGCGGTCACTTCCGTTGTGGCTTTTTTCGGTGTGTTGTGGCTTTTTCTTGTGTTGTCGCATTTGTTTTTGTTTTGCGGCATTTGCGTTTGTTGTGACCCCTCTCGACTTCCGGATCAATATATGTGAAAAAACATGAAAAAATATTAGAGCTTAGAGAATGGGGTCAGTCACTCCCTCTAGAATCAGGGAAACAGGACACGGCTCCAGATCCACTCGTCTTTGTAAAGTTTTGTCAAAGCGTGTGCTTCTGGCTAGACAGGTAAATGGGCTAACGTCTATGTGATGTTTCGTGTCTTCTTCTGTGTTTTTACCTTTGCTCTTTAGGATGCACCAGGACACAGTGAAGAGAGCACCGGCCAACAGCAGCAGAGGACCCAGCACAGCTCCGGTGAGGACGGAGGACGACAGGCCCTGAGACAAACCCTTGTCAAGGGAGACAGACGTGGGAGAGGACGACGAGGAGGTGCCGGGGGGAGCTGAGGGGCAGACACAAACAGAGGAGACTATAAACCGTTTGAAGAAGTGGACTAAACAAGTGCTCAAGTCAAATGAAGCTCAGGAGGCTAGCAGTTACAGGGGAGAAATAAAAACACCAGGATTGTGTAGAGCTGGTTAATACAAACATTTTTAAGACCAAAATGAAGAGGCTCACATCAGTAGTTACACAGAGAGAGGGGAGACAGTATTCCAGCGTAAGTCAATTGGAACCAGAGTCAGAAGGAGCCAGAAGTGCCCTGTTATAGAAATCTTTACATAATCTCTTTACATAATCTGTACATTAATCAGCGTAAGACAACATCTTTATTTTGTATTTTTGTTGAAATCATGTTTAAAATATCAGAAAAAAATGTTTCTTGTGTGTAAATTGTGCTGAAGTTTTGAATAAAATTCTCTCACTATGATGTCTTCAGTGTCATTTCCGGTCATTTTCAACATGTTTTTCAACTTTTCTTCACAAATTACTACTTGATTGGTGTAAAACTTTAAATTATAACTACAGCAGGTATTATCTAAATAAATAAAGTAAAATGAGAGAATGTTCCAAACCTGTCATACGCACTTTAATAATATTTGTATTATATAGGCAGCTGGCCCGTTGACAAACATTTTGGGGACCCTGAGCAAAGAGTCTCATATGGGCCCCCCTCTAATACAAACAAGTGCAATCAGAGATATCAACTTGGTCCCCCAAGAGGCATCAGTGGCAGTTCATCACCACAGAAGCAGTTTATGAGGAGTCCAGCCCATATTACATGATCATTATATCCACAATGCAATGTGTATCTGTACAGGCCCATGAACATTTGTGTGATACTAGTCACACATGAGAATGTCTGTGTTTACTAGTGTGTAATTAAAATGTCATTTTTCATGAGTTGTGTGTATGTTAGTTGTGTGAAATCAGTGTGTTGTGTATCACCAGAAAAACAAGAAATGGAAATTATTTTCATTTAAATTTGAATTTTAACAGCTACACTGAAAGAGAAATGAACTCTTATAATTAGTGATTATCTGGAAAACTATTAATATTCGACTATACAAATGCATCGAATTATAAATAGATAATAATTTTTTGAGACACTCCCGTTGCTTGAGCGCAATCCTTCGTGGAGTTATGACCAAAAACGTGACCATGACCTTCAAATGACCTTGACCGATTTGAACCTGTAACATCCAGTGTACCCTGGTTATGTGTGGGCCAACTTGTGTGATGATTGGATGAATATTTTAGCCCCCAGATGGTTCAGAAATTGCTGAAATTGCCCAATCCTTTATAATAGTGTGACCTTTGAATTGCCCTATGTGACCTCAAATTACCTTGGATCGTCACCAAACTTTTTTTTTTGCCATCGGGCATAGGGGCTTGACCCACGTACCAAATTTGGTGACAATTGGTCCATAAATGGCGGAATTATCGCAGGTGGACAGACACAAAGACACACACACAGGGTGAATACAAAACCTGATCAAGCCTTTGATGACCAGGTAATTAATAGGAAGACGGTCCAATTTTGGGCCCCTAAAACCCTGGGGCCCGGGACAACAGACTCGTTTGCCCTTCCCTGTCGACTCCCTCGACAGACAATGTAATGGTGACTTACGTGCTGTGGTCTGGCTCTCCTCCATCACCTGCAGCTGGACTCTGTTACTCTCTGGACGGGGGGCCTTTACTGTGTACAGCGCAGTGTAGTACACACGACTGTCCTCCAGGGTCAGGTTAGACAGGTGATATAACACTGTGGCACTGCAATATTACAGACAAAGTGCTGTTATTTCAGAATAATATTAGTAGAAGTACAAAGTAATGCGTTTAAAGTGCCCATATTACGTTGTTTTCTGATCTATCTTCTGATCCACATGACCTTGTGATGTCATGTGGAAATACAGAATATTTCAGCACTGGAACTGACGATGTCTACTGAACTAAAGGTAAAAACTAGCTGTTAACTTGTAAACTACTGCTTCATGACATCACGAGGTGGAACAGAGCATTTTGCGCTTGGGAGAAAGGATTACTTATGTGTGAATAAAACTAAAGAGAACTCCAGTTCTGTTTTTGAGGAGGTAACAGTATCATAACATGCCTTAAAGATCATAAGAATCCATTTTGTGTAGTAATATTACGCTACACAAGGAGAAGTACAACGTAAAATGTTAAAGGTCTTTTTTTTTATTATACATGAAAGCAAAACCAAAAAATTATGTAATAAGTAATTTTTAAAAAACACTCAAGTAAGAGTAGGGGAACAATAACTGTCAGGACGTAACATCTGATTCATAATTTAGTTAGATGAATAATGAACAATATCTGGTAAGAAGCAATCCGTCATGTTCAAATCATTTCAGAATGTGGCTCCCAAATTATGGGATGCCCTCCATGAGGCAGACTCTACTGACTCTTAAAATTCAGCTCAAGACACTGACATTTAGTCAGTCTTTTGGTTGACTGTGTCTATAATTCCTCTGTTCGTGTACATGTTGCTTAGTGCACTCTGGGAATCACTCTGTGATTTTTTTTGTCTCTGAAAGGTGCTCTATAAATAAAGTCTTATTTTTGTAAAGGAGCTGTACCTGATTTTTACTGTCTTGAAAACATGAAAAACAGAGTTAGTTCATTTGAAAAGTTTCCTGTGATCTAAAGTTACTCCTCACTTACCTTATGCCGTCAGATCATCCTAATCATTCACTCTGACAAGTTTATAAACACTTTCACAACATGGAGAGTCTAGAACAGATCAGAACGGTACAGCTAACAATGACTAGCATGCTAACGTGCACTTCCAGCAGTAAAAAACAACAAAACGACAACTTTCCAATTAGACTTAAACAGCAGACATGCGGACCCCAAGAGCAGCTTATACACCACATCAGCCTCACTTGTGGTTGTGGACGGTGAAGGCGCTGGGGCAGGAGGAGGCCTGGCATTGCGCCATCTTCTGGTGTTCTCCGTAGTACAGACCGACGTCAGTGAGTTCGTGAGCGTAGCTGCTGTTGAACCTGAAGGTGAGCGTGATGTTGGAGCCCACCGTCCCATTGACCACCTCTGTGCTGCACAAGACTGGAGCTGCTGCAACAGGGACACAAGGAAAAAGGAACGTACCGTAATATTCAGTCAAATAAAGATCGTAATTTGAGTTGAACCAGTTTTCAGATCACAGAGGCTTCAGTTTTTCAGCAGACTGTCCTTTTTTTTGTTTTTTTAAACAACTTTTTTTGTACCATTTCTGGTGGAGGGTCTGCCAAATGCTTTTCACCATGGAAATGTTATTGCTTTATCTGGAAGTTTCGCAGTATAGTATTAAATCTTTCTCAAACCAGAACAAAGTTACAGGTCAGATCTGTGGAGAAGCAATCCCCGCTCTTTTGGTTGGGGGTCTATCACCTGCTTGTTTCCATGGAGATGTCATTGCTCCGCTTAGAATGTTCCACAGTGTGACATTACACATCATCACATTTATTCTATTACAGGTGGTTTTATGGCTCAAAAATACCTAGAAAATACCTCGGTGAGCGGGGTCGCCTCTCCACAGATCTGACCTGGAACTTGGTCTGGTTTGGTCTTCATCATGAAAACAGTAGCTCAGTTGGTAGTTGGCAGTTCAAATCCTGCTCTCAACATAAAAATGCCATACTGTGGAACATCCCAGACAGAGCAATAACATCTCCATGGAGACAAGAGTCTGACAGACCCTCCACCAGAAAAGTTACACAATGCACCATACAGATTTAAATCCTCATTTAAAGAAAAAAATAAAAATAAGAGTGAAACTTGTGATTGATCAATACACAAATCAAACTGTGAATAAATTGAAAAAATAAAAAATGAACAGCAGTATTTTAGAACTCCATTTTCCCCAGGGTCAGATTTTTCAGAGGACCATGGAGGTGCACGACGCATTAACACTTTTAACACTTTCATCTGTTTCAATCAGTGGTGGAAGATATACTCAATTTGTTACTTAAGTAAAAGTACAGATACCAGAGCAAAAAAATACTCAAGTAAAAGTAAAAGTATCACATGGAAAAATCTACTTACATGTGCATTGTCTAAGTTTTTCAGCTGAGAGTCCGTCAAATGCTTGTCTTCATGGAAATGTTTTTGCTTTGGTTAGAATGTTCCACAGTATAGATTAAATCTGTCTGTCACGAGGGAGACAAGCAGGTCACAGCACTACGCTCCATTACAAATCAGATCTATGGAGAGACGCCCCTATTCACAGAAGAAATTAATGTACATTCCAGGCAAAGCATTAACATCTCCATGGAGACGACCAGGTGACAGTCCCTCCACCAGAACATTTGTGCCATGCACCTTTAAAGTATTAAAGTACCTGCTTAAAAATTTACTTCAAGACTAAAAAGTAAAAATATTTAATACATATTTTCAGATCTGATCAAATTTTAAATTTGATTGTGATAAAAATTTGTTTTGAATTTTGTTCAACAGAAACACCTGAATCGATTTGTAGCTGCTTTTATTTGTTTTGTTTTTTTTCTTCTCAAACTAAAATAAATAAATAAATATTTAAATAAAAAAAATAAACCCTCGGCCTTTTCAGTAGATCTCACACAATGATAAAAAAATACTTTTACTTTTCAGTCTAGTTTAAAAAAAATGTAGTGGAGTAGAAAGTAGAGATAACTGCTTTCAAATGTAGTGAAGCAAAAGTAAAATGATCCAGTTTAAAATATACTTAAGTCAATTACAGATACCTACAGTACATTTTAACTTAAATACAGTACTTTACTACTTTTACTTTGTCACTTTCCACCAATGGTTTCAACAGTAACTGTTATATTACATTTGGGTGAAAAATAAATGTCAAATTTTTCACAAATTTACCAATATTGAACCAATATTAAACCAGGACTAGACTTGTACCAGCTGGGTCTGAACTGAGATGAACCCAGAATAAGGACCAAACCAGGACCAAACCAGGACCAAACCAGGACCAAACCAGGACCAAACCAGGACTAAACCAGGACCAAACCAGGACCAAACCAGGACCAAACCAGGACCAAACCAGGACCAAACCAGGACCAAACCAGGACTAAACCAGGACCAAACCAGGACTAAACCAGGACCAAACCAGGACTAAACCAGGGCTAAACAGGACTAAACAGGACTAAAGCAGGACCTGTCACAGTAACACATTTTGAAGCGCCATTGATGAAGTAAATACAGACAATAATCGATAATATTGAAACCAAACCATAAAACAGAATTATCCACAAAGACAAATATATTCTAAATGTACAATATTGTTAAAACTGCAATAAATAAATAACAAAATACAACACTTAAGGAGTTAATTTGTGTGTATAATGAGTCAGAGAAGTTCATAATTCAACTTTTTACAATTAAAATCTCAACATAGAACAGAAAAGTAGCCAAACTTTTTCCACTAGTACAAAGAAAAAGTACAAATGATAAATATTAACTCTCAAAAATGATTGTTAAAGGTGCACTGTGTAACTTTTCGGTTGTTCCGTCTCCGGCTTGTTTCTATGGATGGATGTGTCATAGCTCTGCCTGGAATGTTCCACAGTGTGACATTAAACAGCTCTACTTTACATTTATTCAATTCCAGGTGGGTTTATAGCTCTCCACAGATCTGACCTGTAACTTGGTCTGGTTTAGTCTCCGTAATGATAAAAAGTTTGAACACCATAGTTTGAAACATTCCAGACAAAGCAATAGCATCTCCATGGAGACGAAATTTTGAGGGACCCTGCACTAGAAAAGTTACACATTGTACCTTTAAGTCGATATAGTAATTATCGTAACAGGCTAGAATGAAAACAGAAACTAAACCAATAAAAAGTATATTTGAAAGTTGCGTCAAGACCCGGATTCGATCATCTGGAGGGCCCGATCCGGTCCCGGGGCCTCACGTTGAACAGACCTGCTTTAGAATAACAGAAAATGATAAACCTTACCTGACAGAAGCGTCGCCATGGCAAAGACGTGAACGACCCCGAGGTGTTTGGATCTGGTCATCTCCATGGCGATGGTTCTACTGAAGGTCCCCGCTCTGCTCAGACAGTAGCAGCTGAACAGGAACTGAGGAGGAGGACCTACTCTACCGCCTCCAGGTTCTCGAAGGGCGCCTCCTGCAGACCACTTCAAACACAGTGGGAGGCTCTGGGGAAGATTTCGTTTTACTCATCAATGGGTTTCCTTCTGTGATTCACTGTATGAGTATTTATAGGCCTGTGGAGCTTGTGATGGTTGGTTGGTTCTGTACAGCTGCTTTGCTTGGTGTAAATTCTGCTTTGTTTCTATTGTTTTGACTCATTTCCTGTACATATTTGATCACACTTTTGGTTATTTCTGTTCATTAATGCTCCAAGATTACACAAAATAGATTCTTGTGAGCTTCAAGTCGTGTTATAATGTTGTTTCCTTCTCAAAAACAGACCTGGAGTTGTGTTTTGTTTTAGTCACACATGTTTGAGTAAGTCTCTATTATTAGTCTGTCTACCTCTCCAAAGCTCAAAATGCTCTGTTCCAACTTGTGATGTCATGTAGTGGTAGTTTTCAAGTTAACAGCTACATTTTACCTTTATTTTTACTTTGCTCATCAATTACTAGAGACGAGTGTGTTGGAGGAGAGGGAGCAGCCCAAGAACAGAGAGAAAAATCACGCACACCGTCTTACTTGCAAATTGTGAGATTTATTAGGACAAACCGTGCAACGTTTTGGCACTAGGCCTTCGTCAGGCAAACAGAACAAAAGCTCAGGTGGCCGTCTTAAATAGGGTGTGGCAAGCACCCAAGGGTGACAGGCCGTAAAGAAACAGCGTAATATACAATATAATCAGTGTTGGGAAGGTTACTTTTAAAATGTATTCCCCTACAGATTACAGATTACATACAACAGAATGTAGTTTGTAACGTAATCCATTAAATTACTTAAAGTGAGTAATGTAACCTGAATACTTTGGATTACTTGAATTGCTGTAGAGAAGCAAAGACGAGGAAATCTTCACGTAAGAAGTTCTGTCTGCTAAAAGAAAATAAAAAGCCCAGACTTTCCTTAACCATATAAAAATATTATTAATAGAAGACGAGGAGACACAGTCCACATGGCATGGTTAAATCCTGTTAAAGCCTATTTTAGTCCTGTTTTAGACCTGGTTTAGATCTAGTTTAGACCTGGTTTTGTCCTGGTTTAGACCTGGTTTTAGACCTGGTTTAGACCTGGTTTTAGACCTGGTTTAGACCTGGTTTAGACCTGGTTTTAGTCCTGGTTTAGACCTGGTTTTAGACCTGGTTTAGACCTGGTTTTAGTCCTGGTTTAGTTTAGACCTGGATTCAGTCCTGGTTCAATCCCGATTTTGTCCTGGTTTAGTGTCCGGCAATGAGTGGAATTACCAAAAAAAAAAAAAAGGGATATAGTCCAAAATGTCAAAACAGGAAAATAACCGCTGTGTAATCCATTTATTTCAACAAAGTAACTGTAATCCAATTACCACTCACTGAAACAGTAACTGTAACTGAATACAGTTAGTCATAATTTGTACTCTGATTATGTAACTCTGGTACATGTAATCTGTTACTTCCCAACACTGAATATAGTAATATAATAATAGTATAATAGAAAAATAATAGAAAAATAAGAAAAATATAAAATGTTTTTCTATTATTATTCTATGTTTTTTCTATTAACGATTAATATTTCATTATTATTATGATTACACTGGATGTTGATTGGGGTTTTGGGTACACTGTTCCTTGGGTGCTTGCCACACCCTATTTCAGACGCCCACCTAAGCATTCATTCTGTTTGCCTAAGGCCTAGTGCCGAAACGTTGCGCGGTTTGTCCTAATAAAACTCACAATTTGCAAGTAAGACGGTGTGCGGGATTTTTCTCTATGACCTTTCATTTTGTAGAGTTTGGTAATTCTCACTCTGAAATCATCCAAATGATTCAAGTGAAGGTGTTGTTTAAAGACACAGTGAAGCTCTTCCTGTATCACCACATGACAAAAAGTGGCATGCTGTGTTCATTATTCCACCTATAATCTCGTCTTTGATTTTCTAGTGTAATATGGCTCCTTAAAAAATGTATTGTGTAACTTTTTCTGGTGCAGGGTCTGTCAAATACTTTTCTACGAGGTTATGTTTTGCTTTATCTGGAATGCTTCACGGTGTGGTATTAAACCTTTCTATCTTCATGGAGACCAAACCAGAGCAAGTTACAGGTCAGATCTGTGGAGAGGCGACCCTGCTCACAGTCAGAATGCAGTATTTTGTTTTTTTTTTAGGTATATTTGAGCTATAAAACCACCTGTAATTGAATAAATGTAAAGTAGAACTGTTTAATGTCATACTGTGGAACATTCCAGGCAGAGCTATGACATCTAAACAGTAACAAGCAGGTGGCGGACCCCTCAAGCAAAAGCTACACAGCGCAGTTTTAAATTACATTTTTTTTTCTGTTACTTCCCATAACTCTGGCAGATGTGGGCTCTCAAAATTTAACCACTGTTTAACCAAAAAAGTGCACCGCGACTCGAAACGCTCTGAAAGCCCCCGATCTATCATAATCATCAAAACCACGTGAGACCACAGCAGAGGAAGTGCGGTCTTTGAAGTGTAACACCTCACACAGAGTTGGGTGGGCTCCTGTTACTGTCAGGACGGTAATTTTACTGTGTGGGTTTTATCAATGAAATGAAAAAAATAATGTGTGCACTTTTCGGCATATCGGCTATTCGTGCTTAAAGGGCTCATATTACACTATTTTCTGATCTGTTATAAAGTTGTTTCCTCCTCACAGACACACCTGGAGTTGTGTTTTGTTTCATTCACACATGTTTAACTCACAAACTCTGCAGATGTAGGTCAAGTTCTTCTCTCAATCTGAAAAAATCTACACTGGAATCATTTGAATTATTTCATCCCTAAAACTGCCAATCTCAATTAAACTGAACGTAAAAGGAGCTGTTGACTTGAAAACTACTACTTCAAGAGTTAATTTGTGTGTAAAATGAGTCAGAAAAGTTCATAATATAACTTTTTACAACTGAAATCTCAACGTAGAAAAGAGGAAAAATAGCCAAACTTTTTCCACTGGTGCTAAGAAAAAGTACCCATGATTAATACTGACCCCAAAAATTATTGTTAAAGGTGCATTGTGTAACTTTTTGGTTGGGGGTCCGTCTCCTGCATGTTTCTGTGGATATATCATAACTCTGTCTGCAATGTTCCACAGCATGACATTAAACAGCTCTACTTTACATTTATTCAATCACAGGTGGTTTTATAGCTCTCCACAGATCTGACCTGGTCTGGTTTGGGTTCCACTGTGATAGAAAGTTTGAATACCATACTGTGAAACATTCCCAGCAAAGCATTAACATCTCCATGGAGACAAGTATTTGACAGACCCTCCGCTATGATGTTGATGTTCAAAACAAAGCACACAAAAATGGTCTGAAAAAATACAAAATGGATTTAAAAAACACATTTTTAGGAGCCTATGATCAATATTCATCAGTGTATTCCCGGGATTGACTACCCCAAATTTAAGACTTTGTTTAAGACCTTTTTCAGACCACTTAAATGAAAATTAAGACCAACATCGCACCCATTATGCGGCGAAAACCACCAAATCAAATTCTAATAATGACCAACTAACTACAGTGTTACATCTAGAATCTTAGAGCCACTGTGGACCTCCCCATGATCCATCCAACGTCTTTCTCCACTTTACTGTTTACTCACTTCCACCAGCTCCACAAACCAAATTATTGTTTGCACATACTCCAAATTAGATGTTTATTCATGTTACATGATTTCACGTTGTTGTTTTTTCCTCCCTCCCATTTAACATTGCACTGCAGCCCGGTTGAGTAAACAAAAAAATAGGCTAATGAAATTTAAGACCTTTGTGAAATAAATAAGACTTAAATTAAGGCCTTAATTTAGGAACATGAAATTTAAGACTCGCAGCTACCCTGTTCATGGTCCTGCTTTCTGATTTTCAACAAAAAGGTGAGAAACTCGTGACTACAAGTTTAAGTTGCTGTTAGTTCCAAATAAATCAGCTCTTTTTGGTCAGGTGTTAAAATAAAGCTCAGATTAAAGTCGAACTAGAAAAGCACTCAGAGAGCGCAGACCTCCGCCAAGGACTACCCCCATTTTTTATATAAATTGCGATAAAATCAGTCTTCTGGATCAGATCCAGATCAGCCTTTGGAATATGAAAGAGGATCCCATTGTCCATCCCTGAGTCAAATTTCATGGGGTTTGGTCAATAATTAACCTTAAGTGCCTCCAGTTAGCATCACATCCTCAGGGAACGTTGATGACATCAGCTGCAAAGTATCAGTATGCAGGAAGTTGCAATGGACACGGCTGTTACCTGTGGCCCTTTTTCAGTTCAAATCAGATTTAAGGGGGCACTCTGACTGGAAAAGGAGCAGATATGAAGAAAAATCAAAATAATATGTATGCTTTTTGACAATATTTGGTTGGGTGGAAATCCTGTAAACACCAAATGCTGAAACCAACGTATTAACATCAGAGTTGCTTTCTTTTTGACATCCCCCTCGCTTTTTCTCCCCACGCAGTCACTGTCCCTTCAGAGCACTATCACGACACAATCAGCACTCATCCCGCTAATGAAACTACTGCACCTCGCATCAGGTTCGCTGTCTGTAGTTTTTTTAAATTCTGTTTTTGTATATTTATGGAGAATAGTCGTGTGGGAGGATGGACGATGCAGATGTAGATGGCTTGTGGTTTGAGCGTTGCACAGAAGCAAATATCTCAACTGCAAAAATCTACAAACCTCTTCACGCATGTTTTAGACGTGGAAACAACGTTATAACATCGTAAAAAGGTCGAAGACGTTTGACAAATGGAAAGACTGACACTCACGCAAAGATTGGAAAACGACAGGTATGAGGAAGGCTGGAAACCATGGAAAGACTTTATTAACACCCCAACATAATGATAAAAAAAAAAAAAAAAAAGTGACAATCCCTCTACACTGCTACTCAAGTGTTCAAGTGTTGTTTTTTTTTATTTCTTTCTTTGTATCCTTA